GAGTACAGGCAAAATGTCAGTCTCTATAAGCAAGAAGACTTCCCAAAGTGTTTAAATAATGTAGAAACATGAAAGAAATTCCTGCAGTGGAATTAAAAAAAACCTGGATACTGTCATTAAATGATTTGTGCTTTTGTTGTGATGCTATTAAAGAATACATAAAGATGATACACGTACACAGAGGAATAAAGATATAAACCTTTTACTAGATTAAGATTCAGACAGTGCTATCAAGAATTAAAACAATATTTTGAATCTTATGGTGCATCCTTGACTGAAAAGGCCATGCAAATTCAACAGTTAACTAAGCCTAACCAAGCAAATGACAAAGATACGCATTAGAATTCAGCTGCCACACTACTTTTTTTAAAAAAAAATACTGTAAGTACATCTATAAAATATATGAGCATATTTTAATGGGGTGTTTTTCAGTAGAGCATGAGCTGGAGATCCCAGAGGAACATTGCACAGTGCATTGCTGCCCTCTGGGGGAGCTGGAAAGGAAAAAAAAATCTGACTACTCACTGGTGTACTTGACATGCTGGAGAAATGTTAGTTAATAAATCAAATTCTCTTTTCATCTCTTGTGAAACCTGAAGCTTTGTTAGAAGCATTGCATTTGCAAATTGAAAATCAGCTACCACATGGAGAGCTTTGTAGCTTTTGTGTTGTTTTTCTGATACTATGTCACAAAATAGATCCAGACATGATGTGTACAAGGGATGTGAGATACCTTCACTGTTCACTGCATACATTGAACGTAAAATTTACCTGAGCAATGATGGTAAAATGCTTCAATATGTTTTCACTTTTTCCCTAGTGTTTCATTACATGTGTCTAACTGTAGCTGTAAGCCAGTTTTTCTGACTGTATCTTCTGGTCTGTCCTCTTCCTGCATATAATCATTATTAATAGGTTTCTTCCATTAAAAATAATGTGATTTAGCTATTTCTTTTTATCTTCTAAAATAGATATTTTCCTTTCCTAGAAACTCTGTTCTGCAATTCCACAGCAATATGAGACCCCAGCAAAAAAAAAGGAAAATGGGTCACTCTATGATAAACACTATGCAGGTACCATGCATGAGGATGTAGAATCAGAATCATAGAATTTAAGGGTTAGAATGGACCCTACAGATCATCATCATCTTCTGAGATTTCACCTTCAAAACATGATCAGTGTTATGTCAATATAGCTTTCCAAGTCCCAAAAGAACTACAAGAGCAGTGTAACACAGTTTTGTAAAATATTTCTTTGAGGTTGACTTCACTTTTGTTTAATATGCTCTATTTTTATAGAATAATTTGTGAAAAGCAGATACAGATCAGAAATTGAATTTTGGAAACTCTAGTGTGGGAATGTGTTTCTTTTTCCAGATTAACTTCTAGATAAACTTTAAAATTAAGACCATTTTGCCTGCAAAAGCTTAACATATGTTCCATAGCCATTTCTGGATCAGCTTTGTTGAATCAGTGCATGTGCTAACATAAAAAATTCTGCCACATTAACACACATCATATGTGCAATGTTGTGCTTTGGTAAATCCTTGAGAGATGAAGAACCAAGGAATAGCTATTAATCTGTGTGACTGATGGGACTAAATAATGAGTATGGTAAGTAAGTTGTCTGAGCAAGGAAATAATTTTTATGTGTGTCTTCTGCCAAGAGCTTCTGGAAATGAAAGTGTGAAGCAACCAGAAAGAAAAGACAGAAGACAGATTTCCAGAGCCCCTGAAGAAGTGTTAGGGCAGCAAAAGAGAAACATTTTTTCAGAGTGGAAAGTTCTGCTTAAACACAATGTTAAACCTGGCAATGCAAATTTACCTGTAGCAAAGAAAAATAGTCTCATCTATGCCCTAGATCTGGGGCATGCAAAACAATGTGTCAGGTGAGTAAGAGGGAGAATCAAATCCACCCATCAAACACAGACTGAGACAAGGGAATTTATTCATCGTGTTTCCTTAGATCATTTATTTCCTCTTGCTACCTGAGTGAGTTTTTCTTTGGAATCACACAAAAAGTTTTAGCATACCAGGTGCTACATTTCAAGCACAATACTCTGTAGTGGAAGAGTGGAAGATCCTTCAGTAAGCAACTAGCACATTTCTGTTCACACCTTCTAGTTCTGCAAGTTGACAGAGGCGTTGACTGAATATTGTTTTCACTCCACTGATGACCAAACCCTCTCACAAATCCCTACACACAGATCAAAATATTGTGACAAGATAAAGAACATCAGAAATCACTGTTAATGTGGAGGTGGGGTATGAAACAAGGGTTATCTTTAATAATAAAGGATGACAGCAGCAACAGTAAAAAAAACAGAGAGCAAATCTGAAACTCACGTTCTGCCATTCCAGAAAAAAAAATTATTTTTCTTTACACCAGCTGCCCTTTCCAATTTTAGGATGGTCTCCTCTTCTTCTGTTTTAACCACAGGTTGACAGTCTCTGAATTTGCATCTTTACTCTTTCATTCTGGTTTTAACTTACTCCTGCTCTTTCTGTTCTTCTCTTCACATTCATCACATTCATGTTTGGTAACATCAAGCTTCCCAATAAAGTATGGTTTGACCACTAAATTCTCTGGCTTTTATGCCCTTTTCTCTTCATTTGCCATTCAACTGTGAATTAACCCATTAACTATCAAAACAGACATAATACCAGCTCATTTTTTATTGCACAGTGGCCTGACACTGCTGCCTTTCTATGAATTATTCCCTCTTCAAGCCACCATTTGATTTCTTTTAGTATCTTTAGTAACTATAATTCTTGCAAACCTCATTCAGCAGCAGACTGCATGATGTATAGATTATTTTATAATCTCTCCTGTCTTTTTTATTTATGCCCATGAAGACACTGGTTCCTGGCTCTCAGGTTCTACAGCCTCAGTCCTTTGCCCCTTTCTCTAAAATGTTCATTGTTCTAGCCTGTTTTAAGTCAAACTCATTTTCCTCTTGTTTAGCAACCCATCAGCTAATAGGCTGGGAAAAATCCCTTAACCATGCTGAACAAGGAATTCCCCTCCTTCCTCTGTTCCAATCCCCACTACCCATCATTGTCCCCATTATTCCAACTATTCTGCACATATAGTCTGTACATTACAGTTGTACATTTGCTCTTCTCCACTTCACCATCTAATTTCACCTTCTCTTTTCTTCATTTCACCAACAGGGCTGTTCAAAAACAAACACCTGTTTTTCAAAAGTCTGTCACTGTTGTTTCATGAATATATCAGCTTTGCACTGCCATGAATGCACATGCACAATAAAGGGCAATCACTACATACTATTGTACATGGTGGGAGGAGGGGAAAAAATCTCAAAGCATTAAAAACATTTTGAAGTATATTTACTAATTTCAAGAATCCCAGCCTTTCCCTGTATGCAGACACAGCATCACTACAGAAGAGTGCTCCTTCTAAATAAAATACCCCAGGCATTTATTCCGCTCACTATCCATTTCTTCAGTTTCTAACTCATAATGTTTCATGGCAACGAAGTACCGGATAAAAGTTTCACCTAATGCTTCCTTAATGCACGAATCTTTCTCCAGTGCAACAAGAGCATCTTCTAGTTTCAGAGGGACTAACGAATGTTTCAGATCACCAGTGTCATTTTCCTCTTCGAGCATATCATCATACCTAAGTCCTCTCTTTACTCCATCAAGGCCTGCAGCAATAGTAGCAGCAAGAACCAGGTAGGGGTTTGCTGCAGCAGAACTTAGTTTGTTCTCTAGATTAGTGCCTTTTCCACCATGACATTTGACATTAAAGGCACAGCTGTTGTCATTGTATGCCCATTTTGCATTGACAGTCTCTTTGGATTCTTTACTGTATTTAGAATAAGGCTTACGGCAGCTGGTGGTAGGAGCCATCAGGCAGCTGATAGCTGCTGTGTGTGCCAAGAGACCTGATAACCAATTTTTTCCAAGCTCTGAGAGCTCCTCAACTCCATAACCAGCAGAAAACAAATTCTTTTGGCCGTTCAGATCCCACAGGCTATGTGACAGAGCCCCTGAATTGTAGAATCCTGATTCTGAGAAAAAGCTAGCCACGTAGTTATACTTCTTAGCCACCTCTTTAATGCCTGTTCTGAACGTGAAGGCACTGTCAGCAGCATCTATGCCAAATGCTGGATGAAAAGTGATCTCCATTTGCCCAGGCCCACTGGAAGAAGAAAAGCTTTCAATGTTGGCACCAGCATAATACATTCCTTCAATGAGCTCCTGAATAAAAGTCTGGTCATGGTTATTTAGTATCGTGGCTGCAGGAAAGGATATTGTCTTGGAATTTACAACTTCAGTAATGCCATAAATACAAAATTCATAAGTGAATGCAGAGCGCAGGGAGAAGCCATTGTCCTGAAGCTGGCTCAGCTGCTTCCTGGCAATGTGCCTTGGTGAGGTCATGAGTGGATTGCCCAGCACAGTGAAGGAATCACATATCACTCTTGCAGTCTGCTCAGTCCAGGGTAGTATTCGAAACGTCGATAAATCCGGGTTCAGAATTATGTCACAATTAAAATTGGTTGCATTTATGTAATCTAATTCATTATCTTTAGGATTCAGCGTCAGCTCGAGATAACTTCTAGGCATGGCAACACCATGAATTGCTTTCTCCTAAACACAGAGCAGAATGACATATTACCAAATGAGAAAAGAGGACAAAGGTATTTTTTATGTACATGAAATATGTGCAACTCAGATTCTCAGCAACAGTATTTTTCCTAAGAGAACACTAAAAGGCAGTGATCACTAAACCAGAGGGCAAGAGTTGGTTACTGTGCCATTATGAGGCTAAAAAACTTTCTGCAAGATTGGTGTGAAAATTCTGGCATCAGTTGTTCCAATGATAATTTTTTTTATTTCCATAAAGAACTAAAAAAAAGGTTCAACACCTTTCTTTTATAGTCTTTATAGAATTATTGACATCACCAGTTAGGTGCAAACTTTGCAAGTCAAACTTCTACCCACAGTTAGTCTGTTCAGCTTCCATATCCTCTGAGCATTTTCTTTACCTAGATCCAAGTGACCACACAACACTCATGGCAATACAGATTCATGTTGTGACTTCTCTTTAAATGCCATGCCATGTACCTCAGTGTGTTTCAGATGCAATGTTTAGCAGAAAAATCTCACTTTCTGGACTTAATAAGTTTGGGCACAAAAGGCAGGGAAGCACTTCCAAATGTCTCAGTATATCCCTTTTAGGCAGCAAACAGGACAAACTCATTGTTACATTTCCTTCTCCATTTGAACAGAAACATTGGACCCCAAGGAAGGATCATCTACCTTCAAACAAGCATCTTTACAATTTACCTTACATCCAAGCATTTAACTGATAAAAAATGCAATTAGGCTGAGCTCGATGAACTGAAATTTGGCTCATGTTTGCATCTTACCTTTATTCATCTAAGGGAAAGGATTGCCATCTGACTGAGCAGAGGAGACAGAACAAACCTAAAAAAGGGCAGCTGAAAAAAAACCAAAATTTTGCCTATACAGTTGGAAAATTGTTGAAATACTTCAAACTGCACACAGTAGTCTCTCTTAGTATAAATGAATGAATGAATGGCAATGAATGACTGAAAGAATAAAGTCTGTCTTCTCTTAAGTGGCAGTCCAGTGGGATAATTTCCCCCTGTGTGACACCCATAGCCAAAACTGCAGACTGGTGAATTCTGCTCCAAGGTATCTAAGCTGTCCATTTGACACTGAAAAGGTCTTCAAGAAGATTACTCTATGGTAGTGCCTCTCCCTCCTCTAACCCTGCTACCCCAAAAACTGTTCTTTATGTATACACATTTCTTATTGCCCCAAAATTTAGGCTGTCAGAGCTTCAATTTGTTGGTAAGTAAGGTTGACACCAAAGCTGAACACGCTGATCTGGACATTTGCAATTTGGCATAGCAACTGAAAGAGAAGTTACAATTAACCTAGCACCCTTCACAAGAATTAAAATGACTGAGAAGTTTGTTTTTCTAAAAGCCGAATGACATCAAGAGAGCAAATTATATTTAGGTGATACAGTTGCAGTTTAGCAATATCTAAAAGGGAAATAATGAATACACAACTTGGGCTTCAGAAGGAACTTGAAACAAAAGTATTCTACATCTCCTCATGTTCTTATCTTTTTTGAGATCTTTCAGTAAAGTTTAAAATATTCATAGTGATATGTGTGCAAGTATAATACAGATATGCACATGAAGTATCACAGAAGCAATATACTGAAAAGTGAGGATTATTTCCTAATATGATCTTATTTCCTCAATCATTAATATAGCAAATATTGTTATTAAGTCATCATGTAACTCAACATTATTCTCCTGTGTGATTGACAACCATGAAGTTTCTTATAACTGAAATTATTTTCACTCAGTCATTTTCTTTTTTTTCAGTGTTCACTCCTTTCTTTTTGCACTTTACTGATGTTCAGTAAAACAAAAACTTTTATAATGCATTGAACCTGAAAAGATAATTCTGAGGAAAGAGATTATTAGAACTTCAAAGAAGAGAAGTTCTTTAATTAGATTACTCTTTGGGGGAACAGAGGAATAGATGATTGCAGTGATGAAAGAAGTCTAGATCCTTTGGGAACTTGAGCAAATGGAGGGCACAGATAATTTGTTCTAAGTTTGAGTTGCTGCCTGCACTATGGAAAAAAGACATAATTTATGGCTGGGGTCATGAAAACATATAAAGGTTCAGCTAGAAACCAAAAAACTTACGTGAAAAAATCGAGAAGGAACATTCTTTGATCTTGACACACCATGGAGGTCTATTGATTCAAATCTGACAAACTGCACGTTGTCCCTGGCCATCTGCTGCTTAATAAATTCAATATGAGAGAACAGGTGAAGGAGAGTTGGACTTTCAAGGCCGTTTACATCAGGGTCTCTGTTGGATGCTACAAGTGAAGAGGAATGTTCACGTCAAACAAAATAATTAACGTTGGAATACAGGCTGCTCTAAAAACTGCAGTGGTGGGAAATTGCAGCATGGAGGGTAAAAAGAAAAAGGAGCAAAAGCTATGGATCATGAAACAATTTGGTAAATAAACACATATTTTTCCCTCACACCCTGTATAAAGTCCCACATTTTTTTGGAATGATTTATAACTGAAAACTTTTTTTCAAGTTGAGAACACAGAGGAATCATGGTAAAGCCAGGGATTTCTGAGGGATACCTCAGCTCTTTTGTTGAGTGTATTTAGTAGCACAAATAGCAACTGGATACCTATTTCCCATTGAAGACTGACAGAATATAGATGCTATATTCCTTCAACGACTTTGAAAAGTGCATGGATAAAGAAACATGATAAAAATGGCACTTGTCTTCTACTAAACCTTTCTGAAGACCTCCTGAGGAGGACTGCAGTCTCCTCCTCCACAGGCAGTGACTTCTAAAGGAAGTCTATGCATTTGTGTTTTTGCTGTTATGGAGTTGTCTTCTTGACTGCATTATGGCAGCTGTAGGACTGTATCAACTTCTCGACATGAAAGCAGTAACATCTGAGTGTAACTTCCACAATGGAGCAGAGAACTGAGCCCAATAACTTCCTTTCAATGACCTTTTATCTCTTCAGCCTGTTTTTCTTATGAGCATCTGTGTACTGTCCTCCTCTTATTCCAGTTGAACTACATAAGGCATTAATTTCCACTCAGTGCAATAAACTAGACCAAGGTGGAAATTTTATATTAAGCTATGAAAAAAATGTGAAAAAAAATACTTGTTTCTTAGTTTCTGGAAGAAAATTCCTCCATTCTTCCTGAGGATATGATCAGACTTTACTTGAAAGATCTTTTGCAGATCTTTCAGATCCACAGTGGAAGATCACCAGTAGCAACCACTCACCACTGCCCTTCAAATGGAAACTTAAAGCTTCATGCTGAGGCACTCTGAAGGTCAGTGGGAGCAATCCCAATCTCTCCAGTAGTAAATTACCTGAACTAGAGCAGATCTCCTTTAGCAGTAGCCAGCAGGAACAAACACATCTCTTTGACCTCTCTTTGGGGCAAGTAGGACAGCCAACTGCAAGGCTGTAAGAAGGCTCTCCAGCTGGCCCAGCACAAGGCTGTCAGATTATTCCCTGAGAAGGCAGTAAACTCATCCATGGTCATAGACTTCTCAGAGCCTTTGAATATTACTGGAGCATCCTCCTTATTTTAAGTTGGTAAAGTAAGAAGAGGTTGAGTAATAACAGTGTTCCCTGAGGAACAGCAGGTGAAAGCACAGGACAAAATTTTAAGTAAATATAAGAGTCTGCAGGAAAACAAACTAAAAATTGAAAAGGCAAAAGCAAGTAAAGAATTTTGTCACATCCACTTCCCCTCGTGGTATCTTTCCCTTTGATCTGCTTCAGCTGTAAGCTGCTTATGGAAATAGCTTTTTTTTATAGTGTCTTCTATAAACACTAGGGCAATATGTCCTTTAAAAGATGAACATTAACCAAGAAAGTCCTGTTTACAAATTTTGTGTAACACTCACTCTGTTACAGGTGCTGCCAAAACATGACTTGCCTATGCCATCCATGTAATTTGATTACTGCTTGTAAGGTTGTTTTACAACACACATGACTTGCCTATGCCATCCATGTAATAGCTATTTGATTACTGCTTGTAAGGTTGTTCTACAACATCATATTTACTGGGCTTTACCAGATTTGAACTCTTTATAAACATGACCATTGTTTAGAAGTTTATTAACAGCTAATAAACTGTGGCTGTTTATTAGATTAGGAGAATCTAATAAATTCATAGAATTTCATAGAATCATGGAACATCAAGGTTGGAGGAAACCTCAAAGATTATCAAGTCCAACCATTAATCTGTCACTGCTGGAACCCCTAAACCCTAAACCAGATCCAAAAATCTCTTAAACCCTTCCAGGGATGGTGACTCCAGCATCTCCCTGGGCAATATTCCAGTGCCTGAACAACCTAACAGGGAAAAAATATTTCCTAACATCTAATCTGAATCTCTCATCTCAGCGTATGACCATTCCCTCTAGTCTGTTCATTACAGGCATCTGTTGCCTTCAAGCTAATGTTATTTGAACAAATACATCAATTAATAATCATATTCTATGAACTAACATAAATTAACAGAAAATTCCTATAAAATAAGCTAAAATTATTACCTGAAGAAACAAGAATTTTTCTTCTCCAGTTGGACTTGTTATGATTGAAGATATATACTTTTAAGTCATGAGACAAAAATGCTTATACTGATATAGTATTAGGCTAAAATTAGTCTGTGCACCAGTCTAGATATCCCACTAGTCAAAAGACAGATATATTTATGAGATCCTCTATGCAAAATCCTTTAGAGTCAATGGAAACAGCCATGCAGCCTTCATGCACTTTTTAGAGTTTATCTTTTATATCACTTGCAGACTAGCTTTCCCATTGAAATAATAAGTCTCTGTAAATTGTAAGACAGACAAAAATATCTTCATGATTTAAGATCTCTGATTGATTTTGAAAATATGAAAGGGGATTTGTTTCTTAAGCAATATTTAGTGAATAACCACTGACTACTTATTTTTCTCCAGAACAGGTCCCAAAATAATTTTTCTTGCTGGCCACTAAAATCACTGTCAAACTACATCCACGAAGCCAAATATGATTAAAGTTTAGAAAGGTATAGTAGGAACTTAGTGCTCTGTCTTTACCCTGCTCATAGAGTCATTATCCAGGTCATTAGTTGCTGGAAATAAGGCAGCTAATTAATAAATATTAGAAAGTTCTGGTTGATTTAGGATCACAGTCTAAAAGCCTCACACTCCTGTGAGGGAGGAGTCTGTTCATGAGTATAACTGTTTCCCTAACTCTCTGGGCCTCTAGAAATAATGGCATCTCTCTTTCATTTCAAAAATTCTGCTTATGGAAATAATGAAAAATCAACAAGATGCTCAGCTTTTTGTTCAGATTTTCATTTTAAAAATCCATTAAAAATCCTTTGAAATCCTTCAAAATCTTCACCAAATCATCAGGACACAGAAAGGAACTTAATGTTTCTTTGTCTGTGGTTTTATCTGTATTTCCCTCTTAAATTACCACTGAGAAACAATTAGTATTATTCCTTTTTCTACTGTAATTAGTTCAAAATATCTACAATTATAAACAGAATATCATCACATATTTAAAAAACATTAATAATACATAACTAAAAATATTACAAGAAAATCTTTAAAATGTTTAAATTATTATTATTATTCCTAGCAGAAGGGTGGTGTAATTCTTAATATTATTATTTATCATTATTAAATATTATTGATATTGAAATCTTTCAGTTGCTGAGAGCAGCTGGGCAATGCTAGGGCAAATAGTTGACATCAGCTTTCCCTTCTCAGCAAGAGAAAAGTGCCACAACAGAAGAAAGTTCACATGTCCCAGATCAATCTCTCATTTTCTGCTTGTTCGAAGGATTCCCTTCCCATGGTCCCTTATTAAATCACAGAATAACTAATGCAAACAATATCTCATCTCTGGAAGAGGTGACTGTGTCAAGCTGATGAAATGAAAAGAACGTGCTACATGTTGCCAGGGGACTTGACAATGACAGGCACAGGTTGACCTAACAAATGTAGTAATATTGTAAGCTCTTCACTGAAATACACAGCCACCAGTGGAACACAAGGCAATAACCAGCAGGAACACTCCAGATACAAATCATGCACTGGAGAAGGACATGTTTCTGGCAGTTCTCCCCCAGTCTCTTCTTGCAGGGAACCAGCAGCAGGACAAGAGGGCACAGACTCAAGCTCTGCCAGGGGAGGGTTAGGTTGGATATTAGGAAGAGATTTTTTCCAGAGAGAGTGCTCAGGCATTGGAATGTGCTGCCCAGGGAGGTGGTGGATTCCCCATCCCTGGAGGTTTTCAAGCTGAGACTGGATGTGGCACTTAGTGCCATGGTCTAGTGACCACGGTAGGGTTGGACTGGATGATCCTGGAGGTCTCTTCCAACCTGGTTGACTCTATGATTTCTCCCACTGCCCCTCCAGCAGCACCAGTTGTGCCAGACATTCTCCCTCCTGACACCACAGTGCTGCAGCCACAGAGCTGCTTCACAGCCTCCCCCTGCCCCACGAGGCAGCCTGGGCACACCTGAGTCCCACACTGCCCCAGAGAGCACCTCCCTGTGCCCTGTGGCATCCTATGGCACCTGTCACTGTCCCAGAGCAGCAGGGAAATAAAAGTCCTTGCAAGGACAGAAATTGCTATGCCACTCCAGGCAGCATTTCTTCACTTTAGAGCTGACATTGGCAACAGCTATTAGCAGGTGTTCTTTGCAAAACAGTCTGTCTAAAGAGAATGGGGGTTGTAGTTCCTTCCCAAAAAGACAGACTCGTGGTTAGGAGCAGGAGGGTTAATAACCAAATTAGCTTTAATTTCTTCTACGTCCTTAGAAATCTACCACTGGATGCTCTGAAGATCAATGTGAATATTGAACCCCTTCATAAACTGGATACCTTGTGCTGTTGATATTCACTAGCAGTGAGTCCCATGGCCCCGTCATAAAGTGGATACCTTGTGCTGTTGATATTCACTAGCAATGAGTCCCGTGAGGTAATCACACTTCTACACTCTTCTAAATCCCACAGAAATTCCTGTCAGAACTAATTTAAATATCTCTGCTCCTCCTTACAAGACACTGGTTTGTATGTATAAGAACAGCCACTTGACTTGGTTTGTATATCATGTTACTTACTGCTCTCACTTCTGTGTTCAAACATTAACAGCCTCTGTTTCTCAAACCTTGGATGACTTACATGAGCTCTTCCTATACCATATATCATCTTCTGTGTTCAAACATTAACAGCCTCTATTTCTCAAACTTTGGATGACTTACAGGAGCTCTTCCTATACCATATATCACAGCCACAGCTCTTCCTATATAGTTCCTA